AATTGCAACCATATAAACAGGTTTTTTCCAAACAATAGAATGTAAATGAAAATCAGTAACAGGAAACTGGAAGCTTCTCAAGTATTTAGAGTTGAACAATACATGGGAATGAAACAACAAACTTCTAAATAATCAGCCAGTTAAACACAAAGTCTTTCACAGGGTGGATGAGATAGCTCAGTGGCCAAGGTGCTTGCCTCGAAGCCTGACAATCTGAGTTCAATTCCCAGGTCCAGCATGGTAGAAGGGAACAACTGAGTCTCACAATTGTCTTCCGACCTACACACGCACACGTGCATGCACACACCCACAAATGAAAACAGTGAAGTACTAGTGTCTAATACAGTTGGGTGACCCTTGAAAGCATGAAAGAAACCAGTGATCAAAAGCCACACAGTTGTTTATAAGAAATGCCTATAGAATAGATTAGTAGTTACCAAGGGGTGGAGAAGCAGAACTAGAGTATTCATGAATATGAGATTTCTTTGAAGAATAGTGAAGGTATTGTAAATTTATGCATTAATGTAAATTTTTCATCTCTGAAAATTAAATCTAATGAGATATATGCTTTTTTTTAGTTTACATTTATAAGTGTTTTGTCTGCATGTATGTCTGTGAACTGTATACTTTAAAATGAGGTACTATGTTATATTGTGTGAATTTTGTCTCAACAAAGAAAAATAGTGTTTGAGAGATTCTCTGTCATTAAGAACACTTGGCACTCTCCCAGAGGACCTGAGTTTGGTTCCCAGCACTCAGATAGGCTCACAACCACCTATGACTCCAGGGGATCTCATACACTCTTTTGGCCTCTGATAAGCCAAAAGATGAGAGTAACCACACATACATGGCATATATTCACACACACACACACACACACACACACACACACACACACACAGCTTGTATTCATTACTTAGTTTTCTGTTGCTATGATTAAACACTGTAACCAGGATGCAACTAAAGGAAGAGAGAGTTTATTTTAGCTTACAGTTCCATAGAGAGGAGTCTGTCTCCCACGGCAGGCAACGATGGTGGCAGAAACGGGAAGCTGAGACATCACATCTTCAACCATGAAGTAGAGAGCAAACTAAAAACAGAGCATGGCTTTGAAAAAGTCCACTCCAATTAAGGTACTTCCTCCAGCTATATCTCCTACACCTCCCAAAACAGCGCCATCTACTGGAACCAAGTGTTCAAATGTGTGAGCCTATGGGGGACATCTCTCATTCAAACCACCATACACATAAACAGACATAAAATAAATATTTTACAAATAAAGTAAAGTAAAATTAATATGTCACAAATGCTTAGACAAGGGATTGAAAAGAGAATATCAGCATAGATTCTGCAGAGTTCATGGAGAGAGGGGGCTGATGGAAACTATTTTATGTCCATGAAGTAAAAACTTTCAGCCATGTCAATTGCTGGAATGAGACAGACTACCAAGATTCAGCCAAGAAGATGTATATGTAAATATATATATATATGTATATATATATATTATATTTTTAACTCTGAAATGTAAAATCCTCCAGCACAGACATGAGCCTGTGGTTGTGTTAGCTAACCCTACTATATGTCTGTAGTAGGAAAAAATAATAGTGATGCCAGTTCTCTGCCATCTCACAGAAGACCAGAGGCAAAGGAATACTTTCCAACTCATTTGATGGGTGCTTATTACCCTGACACCAAGACCAGATGAGACACTATAAGAAAAGAGAAAACACAGAACTAATCCTTGTCAACACAGTGTAAAATATTGACAGGAAAAAAAACTTAAAATACTAGAAAATAAAATATATCAAAAATAAAGGGCCAATACATCTCAGCCCAACAAGATTTATTCCAGGAATGCAAGGCTGGTTCAACACTGGAGGAATGACAGAAAGTTGGTCTTTACATACCAAGTTACTATTAGTTACCTGGAAGAAAGGGTTTCTGAGAGACTAATGCACAGTAACTGACTTCAGATAATAATGTCCTATGTTCCAGCACAAAGGAATGAAAGTATTTAAAAGGATACTTTAGCCTGACTTGAACATTATACAATGTATATGTGTATTGAAACATTATATGTTATCCCATAAATACATAGTATTTATGTGTCAATTTCAATTTTCAATTGCTTAGAGTCAAGGAGATGATTCAGAGGGGCCTTACTAACAAGCATGAATGTCTTGAGTTCAAATCCCCAGGACCCACATGGAGGAAGGAGAGATCTGATGCTCACAAGTTGCCCTCTCACTTCCACTTACACACTGTGGCACACACTCGCGTGCATGTGTGCTCACACATACTAAATAAATAAAGGGTTTCAGTTTAGTTACTTGTAGATCACTTGCCTAACATGCAGAAGGCTATGAGTTCAATCCCCAGCCTACAAAAGTATTAATAATAAGAGTTTTGTTACTGTAATTCACTATCTTAACAGACAGATGCAGGAAAAAAAAACATCATCTCAATAGATGAAAGAAACATTTTAAATATTCAACATCTGGACTGAGGGGATGACTCTGTAGGTAAGTGCATTTGCTATGCAAGTGTGAAGGCTTGAGCTCAGATCCTTAGCACCCATATAAAAGGCTGGGGGTGGCCAGACACACACTTATAACTCCATCACTATGGGAGGTGGAGACAGGAGGATGGCTGGAGCTTGCTGGCTGTCAGCCTAGCTCAGGTTCATTGAGAGACCCTGTCTCAAGGGACAGAGAGTGACAGAGCAGGATACCTGATGTTTTCCCTTGACCTCTTCCTTCATACAGGCACACACACACACCTCAATACTCTTTCCTGGTTTTAAAAACAGAACAAAAGGAATAGACTTCCTTCACCGTTTCTAAAAAGATCTACAAGACAGGCATGGAAAGGACAGCTACTGCCTAGTGTAACATCTCTAGTCCATCAAGAGCAAACCATGTACTGCTCCAACTCGCTCTATACTGAAGTTCTGGCAGAAAGAAAAAGAACTCAAAGGTAAATGGGCTGTAAAGGAAAGCGCAAAGCATGATTGTCTGCCAGGTAAACAGAGAATATATGCCAGTGTAGAGAGCAGACGGGCAGCGGCCCACATGAAAGGCTGGAAAGGGTTTTACTACCTAAAAGTAACACAAGGGAATTTGGGAGGGAACTGAGGCTAGACAATTGTAAACCCCCCCCCCCGAGTTCATAGCTATGAAAGTCGAAGTAACTCTTGAATCAACATAGTGTAATATTCGTCCTTAATGCTACAGTCAGTAAGAAGGTAGCTCGGCCAAGCCAACTGGCAGGCCTGGTTTAAAGAGATTAGGTAACTGGAGTGAACAATAGCTGGAAGAGTCTTTCTCCAAGAACCCATCAGTGCAATCTCTAGAGACCAATCTACCCTGCCTCCCGTGCTGGGGAAGACAGCCCACGCGGTCTCCTTGCCAAGCGCCACTTCTTCCTTGCTCGGGGCTGTGCAGGGGCTGTGCTCTGGCTGTTTGTTGGGCTCTGCCCTCCTGGATTTCTTGGTTCTTCTTTCTCTTTGTTTGTGCTCTTCGTGTCCTCCAGAATGCCCGTGGGGGGTTGAGGTCACAAGGTCCTCTGCCTCCCCTACGCTGCCATTGCCCTTTTTAGCATCTGTCACCTATTGGGGTTCTGAAGATAGAGAGTTGTGCTTACAGCATGTCCCAGAATCTTCTGTCCCCTAATACCATGCTCAAGTGTGTCCCACTCAGCGTATGTATTTGCTAGGATTTTGTTAGACTCCAGTGTTGCAGAATCTTGTGGTCCATCCCCATTACTGTGACAACCAGCACATCATCGGGGAAGAAGCAATGCACTACTGTGGCCTTTGGAACCAATTTGGAGATCAAAGTAGAATTTGGATATTCAATGTCCCATACTGCCCCTACCTCAGATAAATGTATTTTCGGTTCCTGCCAAGCTGGAAAGAGGCCATTTCAGCCATCTTCACTGCTCATGGGAAATGATTGGAGATCTTATATCAAAGGGAATCATTGATGCTTCAGTGGGCCTAACCACTTCAAGGCTTTGCAGATGAATTAGATATGAGTCCTAGAAAGGTTAGTATTTGACAACATTTCAGAGTCTGTGAGAAATTGATCTGTCCTCTTGCCTGCTCATCCCTTATCATGTTTCCTTATGTCAGTGTTAAACAGAGGGTGGGCCCTAGAGACAGTAGGGCGGGGCTGCAGAGACGGCTGCCACACAAGCATGAGGACCTGAGTTCTGATGCCCACGACCCACACCAAAAAGCTGGACTTGGGGCTGGAGGAGATGACCCAGCAGTTAAGAGCACATACTGCTCTTGCAGAAGACCCAAGATTAGTTCTCAGCACCCATGCGGAGTGGCTCACCACCACCTGTAACTCCAGCTGCAGTGGGGCCTCACACCTCTGTCCTTCTTGGACACCAGTACTACCCCCACAGAGACGCATTATTTTTTTAAAATTTTAAAAAATCATTATTTTTAAAAGCTGGATGTGGTAATGTGTTGCATCTATAATCCAATCATTCCTACTGGGAGATGGGAGGCACAGACAGGAGACTCCCAGGAAGTTCATGGGGCAGGTAGTCCAGAATGCACAGTGGTGAGCAAGACCCTATTTCAGACAAGACCAACAGCTAATCTCTCTGTCTCTGTCTCTCTCTGTCTCTCTTTCTCTCTCTCTCTCTCTCTCTCTCTCTCTCTCTCTCACACACACACACACACACACACACACACACACATCTATCAAAAAAACAACCTTCATGCTGAGCCTGGATGCCTAGTGCATGTGTTGGGATGTTTTGGAGTCTTTGAGACAAAAATGCTTCTCTCACAGGAGTGAGCTCTTACCCTGGTTCCTGAAGCAAGATTGACACCTCCCCCTGAGTCTTTCACACACACTTCCTCCTAGTGCTTCCCCATCACACTTGTGATAAAGCCAAGGGACCCTTTGCAGACCATGCTGTGTGACCTTTCCAGTCGCCATGTCATGAACTGGATAAGCCTCTCTTCTTTATATATCACTCAGCACTTTATTGCAGCAACACAAAATGAACTGTGGCAGGGGACTGCAGGTGGAGGCTCAGCATTCTCATCTCTAGGAAGTTCCCAAGTGGTGCTGATGCTGCTGGTCCAGGGATCAGGCCTTGGGAACCGTGGCCTCTGCAGCTGTACCACTTGTACTTGTTGCTCAGTACTCAAGTGCAGGAACAGCCCCCAGGTGGGGTTAAGTCCATTTGGAGCTCTGCCTTGCATTGCTTAACCCAATCTGGAAGTGAGAAGGGAGTATAGGTATAAAAATAAATAAATGTCTATATTCTTGTCCTCAAAATGGTAGTTACTTACTAGTATCTTATGTTCACTTTAATACTTAGATATCATCTTCCTAATATGATTTTTAATTTTAATTTATGTCTATTCTGTTCTAAAAACAAGGTTTTAAATTGTTTCTGTGAAAGGATATGCACGCATGTGTGCACGCGCACGCATGCGCGCGCACAATTATCAGAAAGTGAAAGGTTTGGACTTGGGAGGCAGAGGCAGTCAGATCTCTGTGTGTTTGAGGCCAGCCTGGTCTACAAAATAAGTTCCAGGACAGAAAGGGCTGTTACACAGAGAAACCCTGTCTCAAAAAACAAAAAAAAAAAAGAAAAGAAAAAGAAAGAAAGAAAGAAAGAAAGAAAGAAAGAAAGAAAGAAAGAAAGAAAGAGGTTTGGGAAGCAACCAGAGATGGCACAGGAAATAAGACCTGGTGCATGCTGGGGTTTCCCCGGCTGGGGCATGGGAATGTGAGACTCCAGCACACTGCTGTCCTCACTTTTAACGTGCTGGATTTTCCATTGAAATTAACTATGTAGCAGTATTATTTGCATTATTACTGAGGGGAGTGCACCCGCCCCACCATGTGTGTAGAAATCAGAGGACAGCTTTGTGAAGTTAGTTCTGTCCTTCCAGCTCTACATGGCTTCTGAGATTGAACCCAAGTCACCAGGCTTGCCCAGCAAGCCTCTTTTAGCCACTTAGCCTTCTTGTCAGCCCTGAAGGTTTATTCGAGTTCCCGAGTAGACTAGAGATAAACTCACTCCACTAGCACTGTGCACACTTCTCCAGTAAGTCCCCAGGGGCCTCGGAAAATTAGCATTTAGCTGTGGGTCAGCATTAGCTCAGTGGTATGCTACCACACCTGCACGTGAGCTTGAAACCTCATGTAGTGTCTTCCTGGTGTAGTTTTAGTTCTGGTGTGATTATTGTCAAAAGCATTCAAAAGAATGCCCCCCTTCCACATATGGTCAGATATCTGACTGCTTAGGGAGTGTCACCATTTGAAGGGATGAGGAGGTGTGGCCTGGTTGGAGGAAGTATGTCACTGGGGATGAGCTACTACCCCGTCAGCCTGCATACCACCATGCCCCCCCCATCATGATGACAATGGACTAAACCTCTGAAATTGTAAGCAAGCCCCAATTAAATGCTTTCCTTTATAAGAGTTGCCATGATCATGGTATCTATTCAGAGCAATAGAACACTGATTAAGACACTACTTGTTTGGCTCAGAAGCGGGTGAACCATTGTTTTCAAACATAAGCTTCAACCATCTGTTTTAATCACCAATTTTTGTAATTAAAAAAAGGTAACCAAATCACCAGTATTGAGCGGCCTTAGGAAAAATTGCTTAGAATAAATATGGAATTAGTATAGTCATGTGTTTATATGTGTGCTTTAATTAAAAGATGTACTTGGAGTGGGAGTAGTGTGTGTGTGTGTGTGTGTGTGTGTGTGTGTGTGTGTGTGTGTGTGTTTTGCTGTCTAATGACCTGTGCTTTAAACTTTAGCTGACAACCTGAGGGCTGGTGTCAGGCCAACAAAGAAGTGGTCAGTGGTGTTGTTAAATGGCCAGCACTTGACCTTGACCTCGGGAAGATGCTGACATCATTCAGCAGCATCTGCTCAGTGACTTTTGATTTAAATACTAAACAAGACAGCACTCCTGCCTCGAGAAGAGTCTGGCTGACAATGAGGGAGCTGTGTGAGTTTTTGACAGATCAAATCACACAACACCTTGACCATGAACCAGAGGAGAGTCAGCTTTATAATTTAGGCATGGAAATCGGGTGGCAGAGAACAGGCAAGAGGGAGTAATGGTGTTGGGAGAAGACCTTGGGCAGCATGCAGAGACGGGTAGTCAGACTTCTGCTGTGGTCTGGATGTGATGCCAGGGAACCTTGGATGTATGAGGTGACTGGGCAAGGGGAGAAGAAGGAGACCAATGTGACAGCAGATTTCAGGAGACAGTGGTAGAGTGTCAAAACAAGAGTCAAAGATGATTGCCAGAATTTGAACCTGTGTAGTGGGATGGTATTTTTTAAAGATGGGCATCAAGAAGCAGACTAGTATCACTAGAGCTGAGTTTCTGCAGAGCGAGTATGTGTGGAGCAGGCATGTGCGTAGTTGGTAAGGGCAGAGTGGGTATGGGAAGACTGAGTAAGGTCAGAGTAAGGATGGGGCTTGTCTTGAGCTGGACCTGAGAGTAGGGGAGACACACCAGATGCCTAGGACATGTTTGTGATGGGAAAGGACTTGGATTTTATGCATGTCCACTCTTCATGCTGTATTGGTGCCAGGAGACTTGGGGCTCCCGAAGTCCCAGGCCTTACCTTTTCTTTACTTGTCCCTACTTCTCCTTTGCCTGGCTTCTTTTCTGACAAGCCATAACCTGGTTCCATTCCATGTGTTATTTGAGGCTGGACAAAACAGATACACTCTTTTAAGTCATTAAGGATTCAAAGAAAATTTGGAATCAGAATCAATCAAATGTTCTCATATTTTACAGAATGATAATTACCCATACTTAGCTACAGTTTAGCAACAAAATAAGAACAAAGTGTGGCATTTCCATTCTTTGAGCCTCAGAGCCTGTGTTCGTGGAGTGCCCAGAGGACACCAGCCTTCTTGCTCAAAGGCTGTCTGGTTTCTGGCCCAAGTGTGATTACTAGGTACACTGAGAACACACGGGTTTGAGGCTGTCCCAAGGCAGAACACCAAAGTGAATGTGAACAGGGGAATTGCCAGGTTTGTGTGCCTCGCTAACAAGGACCATCATTTGGATGTTCTGTCACACTGGACCTGGTCTGCCTCAGAAGGTGTGCCCGATTTTTGTTTTGCTAAAAGAATTTGTGCTTGTCTTTGCACGTGGCTACCGATTGGTGCTGAGGGGAGGAGGATGGTTTTAACATTAGAGTTGTTTTATTTTTAGTTTGTATATGTGTGGTACATTCATGGGGGTGGGCAGAGGTTGATGGTGGATATCTTAATCTCTCTAGCTTACTTTTCCAAAGAGGCCCTCTCACTGGACTTGTCGATCACCAGGTCAACTAGATTGTCTGTCCAATAAGTTCCAGAATCTTCTTGTCTCTGTCATTTCAACCCAGCCCACAACTTGGGTTACAGATATGTGCCACCATGCCAGTTTTTTATGTAGGTTATGAGTATCTGAACTCCTGTTCTCATGCTTGCCTGGCAAACATGTTACCCACTAAGCCACCTCCCCACTCCTAAACATTAAAACTCATAAATAGGGATATCAAGATGTAACAAGACTTCTTGACAATCTGCAGAATACTTTCTTAGGGCTTAGCTTCAGATTTATAAAGTAAAATATAGAAGAATACAATGAAAGCAATTATACAGAAATGCAATTATATAAAGGTAGCTAAAAATAATGTTGTGGTATAATAACGTAGGCAGTTTTTGTTTTGCTTTGTTTTGTTGTTTGTTTTTATTTTTATTTTTTGTAGACATTAAAATGGGGGGTGGGTGGGGTACTAAACACTTGTACCATGTCCTGTGTATTTAAATTTTAAATATTTACACTGTAATGAATACACATGTATTCATCCCATGTGTAATGAATTTTAAGTGATAATGAAAGGACAGAATGAGGCACTGAGCGTGGTGGCGTGTGCCTTTATTCCTGCCACTGGCATGGAGAGGCAGGAGGATCTCTGTGAGTTCAAGGCAAGTCTGGTCTACAGAGCAAGTAGCAGGCCAGCTAGGGCTTCACAGAGAGACCCTGTCTTGAAAAGGGATAGACAAAATGGAAACCAAATGTCTTCCCTCTCTTCTCCCACATTCACCCATATCCAGTTCCTGTCCCAGTGCTGACAGGTGTGTGACTGCTATTTTAAATAGTTTTGTGTGTGTGTGTGTGTGTGTGTGTGTGTGTGTATGTGTGTGTGTATACACATATATACACATATGTAAGTTTCATTGACAAGCATACTAAATCAAACAGCATCACACAGGTCTTCACTTCTGTTTTGATTTTTGTTTTATTTTGGTTTTTCTGTTTGTTTACTGAGACAGAGTTCTTCTGTGTAGCCCCGGCTATACTGAAACTCACTGTGTAGACCAGGCTGGTCTCTAACTCAGAGATCCGTCTGCCTCTGCCTCCTAGTACTGGGATTAAAGGTGTGTGCCACCATCACTGGGCTGTTTTATAAATATCATTTTTAAAAATCACTGGACTGGAGCATGGCTGTGAGCAAAGGGCTCACCACACAAGCATGATCCCCGGAACCTACATAAAAGGCAGACATGGTAGGTAACATATCTGTGACCCCAGTGTTCCTACAGCAAGTTGGAGGTGAACACATGACAATCTCCAGATAGCCTGGTGAATACAGTGGTGATGAGATCCTATGTGGAACGAAGCGGAGGGTGAGGACTGACAGCCTGTGTTCTCTGCCTTCTACAAGTACACGATGGCACACACACGCACACCTGCATACTCACGTATGCCTTAACACACCATACAGACACATGTTTTTAAATAAATCACAGAGTTCTTTCCTACACCCAGACTCCTCTCATTCACTCTGCGGCATTGGAGTGTCCGTTGTGTGGACAGCAGCATTTGATTTACGTAAGCCATCTCTTACTGATAAGTATTGAGATAGTCTGTGCACTTAGGGAACATCATCATTATAAACTCTTTTGTGTACTTCCAGAAATAGATGCCCAGGTACTTTTCTGGAAATGGAATTCTTTAACCAAAGTACACACGGGGTTTTAACAGCGAGACCGAATTGCCCTCCAGTGTGGCAGAGCCAAGTTAAAATCTCATCAGCTGCATTGTGGGCACTTGCTAACTTTGTACCTGACGATGTTGGTTATATTGAATTTTTTAACATTAATCCAATATAGTGGGTCAAAAATAACTCGGAATGCTTTGGGCTTGTATTAGAAGTTGGCAGAACACTTCATTGGCTTATGGCATACTTGAACTTGGTTCTCTGTGAGCTGCCTGTTTGTTATTCTTTCCCTTAATTTCCTCCGTTTGTTTCTTTTTCTCTGGGGTATTCTCTGTGTGGTTAGCGGTGCTGCACCCTTGAGCTGTGCTGTGAGTTATCATCAGCATGCTGGCCTTTGCGGGACTTAGCGGGAGACAAATGTTGGATGGAGGCCTCACAGGAAGGCTCTGTGTCTCACAGGGCACTTGAGTGAAGAAAAACGGGCTGGACTGGGCAGAGGACTTTCCAGAGGAAACCAGCATAAGGCATGACTAAGACTTGGAGGTTTCTGGGTAGTGTGGAACACACCTTTTAACCCCAGCTCTTTGGAGGCAGAGACAGGTGAAATCTCTGAATTCAAGGCCAGCCTGGTTTACAGAGTGGGTTTCAGCATAACCAGAGCTACAAGAGAAACCCTGTCTTGATAAACAAAGATTTAGAGGTGAGGGGGACATTTCTAGATGAAAGGTTAGCATTGAAGAGGAGATGCTGTAAGATGAGCTATTACCCAGGAACAGACTTAGCAACATGGAAGCAGTAGAGATATCCATTGAATTTCTTTCAATGGACTGTTGAGAACCTTGAGGAAACCTTGAGAAATGAGCTTTGTTTGAATTATTTTCTTTTCAGCACATTTTCACATGTGCTTCATGTGAAAGTTACCCATACAGACCAGAAGAGGGAGCTAGAATTACACATGGCTATGAGCCACCCAGAATGAGTGTTAGAAACAAAACCCAGTACCTCTGGAAGAATAGCAAGCAGGCTTAATTAACTGCTGAGCCATCCCTCCAGCAAATGTGCTTCTTCTCTAAAAATTTATTTTGTTTGTATGTGTGTTTTGCCTGCATTTGGTTTTTGCTCCATGTGCAAGACTAGTACCTGCAGAGACCAAAGAGGGCATCCCATCCACTGGGAGCCACCATGTGGGTGCTGGGAATTAAACTCTGGTTCTCTGCCAGAACAGCAAGTGTTCCTAACTGCTGATCCATCTCTCCCTAAGTGTGCTGCTGCTTCTCCTTCTTCTCCTTCTTCTCCTTCTTCTCCTTCTCCTTCTCCTTCTTCTTCTCCTTCTTCTTTTTCTTCTCCTTCTTCTCCTTCTCCTCCTTCTCCTTCTCCTTCTCCTTGTCCTTGTCCTTGTCCTTCTCCTTGTCCTTGTCCTTCTCCTTGTCCTTGTCCTTGTCCTTGTCCTTGTCCTTCTCCTTCTCCTTCTCCTTCTCCTTCTCCTTCTCCTTCTCCTTCTCCTTCTTCTTCTTCTTCTTCTTCTTCTTCTTCTTCTTCTTCTTCTTTTTTAAGACAGGGTCTCAAGTAGTCCCTACTGGCTTGAAATTCATGAGGTAACCAAGGATGACTGAAATTCTGATCCTCTTGCCTCTACTCCCAAGTGCTGGCATTCCAGGATGAGCTACCCACTTCCAGTTTTATGCAATGTTGGAGGTAGAACTTAGTGTTTCTTGCATGCCATGTAGGCACACTACCCACTGAGCTGTCTATATTGTCAGCCTCTGTGAATAAATGTCTAAGATGCTTAATGTACTCTTCCTTAGTTTCTGCTCTTGGTTTTGCTATTCCAAGTCAGGCTGGAGTGCATGCGGGGTGCCTAAGTACGAAGACCCTTCTGTTCCTTCACAAAGCTTCTGGTTCTGAAGGCCTAGTCTCTGAGAAAGTCAGCACTGCTGAAATCTGTATCTTCTCCAATGCATGGTGTGTGTCCAACAGTGCAAAGTTGAATGCTTTTATTCTCTTGGAAAGATAAAAGCAAAACCCTAACTCTGGCAGGTTCTTTTTTGGGGGGGCGACAGGCTGTATTTTTCCTATGATAAAATGTTTTTTTTGCAAGAGAAAAAATATATTTGAATTAATTTTTTTTGAAATTTTGAAACTAAATATACCTTAGTATATATGGATAAATATACCTATTAATAGGTTTTGTGTCCCCCAATAATAGACTGCTTTCTTGTGCACACCCTGAGCTTACCAGGCAAACCATCTCTTTTGTTTCCACAGCCTTGCGAAGTCGCTCTGGCCGCTCCATCATCAATGGGAACTGGGCAATTGATCGCCCAGGGAAGTATGAAGGTGGAGGGACGATGTTCACCTACAAGCGACCGAATGAGATCTCCAGCACTGCTGGAGAGTCCTTCCTGGCTGAAGGTCCCACCAATGAGATCCTGGATGTCTATGTGAGTTTGGGTGTTTGGTGGATGCCCTCTGGATTTGGGTTCCTATAGCTTCCAAGAAACACACTCTGAACAAATAAACAATATATCTTTGCCCAGGCTCGATAAAATCATTTGAGTGAAGCCCATGTGAGGGACCCCTTTCAATGCTTGGCGTTGGTCTTTGACATTTACCCCTGCATGTACAAGACTCACAGAAACCATAAAGTCTACCAGGTGCTTCATTACCCTCAGAGTTTATGGACCCAGTAAAACCAATTTTACTTGTTGACCCAAATCAGAAGCAAACAAATGCCCTGTTTCATGAGCCCTGGAGTTCCTCCAGGCTCTTTCCTCCCAGTGCTAATTTGGCATGTTTTCTTTTATGGCAGAAGAAAGAAAATGCCAAATGCAAAGCAACCCATTCCAGGTCCAACCTTCTCAACTCCATCAAGGCAAATGGAGAAGGAACACTCCAGGTGACCCCGGCTGAAATGATGAAGCTTCAGCTGCACTACAAGTGCCCTGCTTCCCACAGACAGGGCTGTGATCACTTTATTTGAAGCCAGAATATCAATATTAAATTGGCCAAGAGTTGTTTCTAATGGTCTTTTAAAAAAAAAACTACCAGAGGAGCATGGAGAGCTCACTCTGTCTATAAAAGGCCTGTCTTGCAAGCATGAGAAACTGAGTTCCAGCCTCAACACCCATGTAAAAGATGGGTGTGATGACACCTTCCTATAATCCCAGAACTGTATAGGCAGCCAGCCTAGCTTAATAGGTGAGCCCCAGGTCCCAGTCAGAGACCCTGCCTCAAACAGCATGGGGGTCTGCTCCTGAGTCATGACACCCAAGCTTGACCTTTGACCTCCACATGCACACATACACATGTGCACACTCACATGAAGCCACTAGAATCCAGACTCCTAAAAAGGTGAGGAACTAATGGGTGACAAGAAGCAAAAGCTTAAAATAAATACACGATGCTTACTGTTCCCAGAGCCATGCTGGTCTCCAATATTTGCTGTGTCGGGTTTGAGAAATAGCATTCATTGTGATTGTTTTCTCCAACTCTACAGTTCTGGTCTGTTCCTCTTGAGGGATAGTAGACTAAAAGTTACAAGAGATGCCTTGTTTTAGTTCATTTGAGATTTTTTTGTGAGTCATCCACTTGGTTGTTTGGCCCTGAGTAAATATGAATGGTATCAGAGGCTAAGGCTCCGCAGTGAAAGCCTCCTGTGGGTGGTCTAGGGAAGGTGGCCAAAAATAATCCCATAAACAGCATAGGCCTCCAGTGGCGGAATCCAGTGTGTTTCCTCACACAGAAGAGGCACGGGAGAGGGCAGAAGGAGAAACCGTGTACAGAGGGAATTGAGGGGGTTGGGGCAGACAGCAAGGACCTGCTGTGTCCCTCAGGGGTCCAGCGCTCAGCGCCGTGTTTCTGCAATGCCAATGAGTAAGTCTTGGCTTGTGACATGAGGAGCTGAGTGCCTCTCATGTCTGCCACCTCTGGGTGAGTGACGGGAGAGCCGGTTTCATGGGTAGGAAGGAAAGGCAAGAGGTGGTGGCATGACCAGGACAGAGAAACGCAGCAGGGCCCCAGAGCAGACGTGACTCATGAAAACTTTCAGGGTAACAAGCTTCAAAATCAGTCATTCTTCTCTCTCTTCCTGATGAAGAAATTAAAACTAGGGATCTAGAGACTGGCACTGGGTTGCATGGCTGGTCAGCAAGAGACACTTTACAGAGCAAAAATATTGGCAAGACAGTGTCCCCGTGCTTGCCTCCCAATTATATTGTAGGTTTTAGTGTTGTTGCTCCAATCTGCCCGTCGCCCTGCCTTCTGCCTTAACAGCTGTGGACACAGGGAGGGCTCGTAGGCAGGGACTGGTTCTGTTGGCCTTCCTCGTTTATCCTGTGCCTCTGTTCCAGACCTCTGCAGCCCACACAGCTTCCTGCTGGCCATCCTACTTACTTTTTTTTTTTTTTTTTTTTTTTTTTTGGTTTTTACGAGACAGGGTTTCTCTGTATTGTTTCGGAGGCTATCGGTCCAGCCCGGCCTCGAACTCACAGAGATCCTCCTACATCTGCCTCCCGAGTGCTGGGATTAAAGGCGTGCACCACCACCGCCCGGCCTTACTTTTATTTTATTTTTATTTTTTTTATTTTATTAATAATTTTATTTATTTATTATTATTTTTTTATTTTCCATTTTAAATTTAGATAAGAAACAAGGTTGCTTCACAAGTCAGTTCGAGGTCCCTCTCCCTTTCCCTCCCCTCCTCCCGTGTCCTCCCCCCATCCCCCCCCCCGTTATCCCCTCATTCCCCCAGGGAGGGTGAGGCCCTCCATGGGGGTGTCCATAGTCTGTCATTTCATATAGGGCAGGGCCTAGACCCTTCCCCAAGAGTTCAGGGTGAGAGTGCACCTCACATTGTTCTATGGGAGTCCAGAGTCTGTGTGTATACTTGGGATGGGTACTGATCTGCTGTCCAAGGCTCAATAGATTACCTAGGCCTCCTCACTGACACCCAGATTCAGGGTGTCTTGATCAGTCCCATGCTGGATTCCCAGGCTGATGCCTGGGATTCAAGAGTTAACCTTTGTCTGGTCAGCTGTTTCTGGGGGTTAAACCAGCCCAGTCTTAATCCCTTTGATCATCAGTCCTCCCTCTCTGATACTGGCTTTCTTGAGTTCAGCTCAGTACTTCTTACTTTTATTTTTTATTGTTTGTTTGTTTGCTTTTGTCATTGTTTCCTCAAATAATATGACCCAGGCAGGCTTCTTTTTTTTTAATGTGTGTTTTTTTTGTTTTGTTTTGTTGTTGTTTGTTTGTTTGTTTGGTCTGGGTTTTGGTTTTCCACTCTATTTCATTATAGTTCTGGAACTTTGTATGTGTGAAAGTGAGCGAGACTCAGGCAGCCAAAAGAGAGAGGACTGAGGACTAGGGCAGACCTTAGCCTTACTGGCCTGCAGAACAGTAAAGGGCCCTTGATGGTCTAGGCTAGTCATGCCCCAGAGATCTGGTCCTTGTTTCTTGACTCTGTGTCACCACCTAGTGCTCAGACAGATTCCTCTGCAGAATGAAGAGCTTGGGACATTCAGAGGCCATAGATCCCGGCCTGGCTGAGAATGGCTGCCAGCCACAGGTTCTCCTACTGTAGACCCTGTCCAGTTTGGACTTCATAAAACCTTCACTTTTATCTTGATAAAATCTTGGCCATTCACTCATTTTTCTTCTGATTTATGAACACATGAAGTCTTGAATTCTTCAAAAGCAACCCACAAGAAACCAATGGAAGTAACTTCGCCCAACACGCCACAGGGTTATTACTGTCACTACATGAGAGCTTGCAATTTAACTACAATACAACTTATGTTATTGAGACCCAAGCCAGCAGGAAATCAGGGTATGGGGGGTTGTGGTGACTTTGACTTTGTGTCCTCAGATGATACACCAGCAGCCCAACCCAGGCGTCCACTACGAGTACGTGATCATGGGGAACAATGCCATCAGCCCACAGGTGCCACCCCTCAGGAGACCAGGTAAAGGTCCTTGTTTTGCACCAACTATTCTGAGTCACTTTCTCCTCTCTCTCTCTCTCTCTCTCTCTCTCTCTCTCTCTCTCTCTCTCTCTCTCTCTCTCTCTCTCTCTCTCTCTGTCTCTCTCTCTCTCTGTCTCTCTGTCTCTCTCTGTCTCTCTGTCTCTGTTTCTCTGTGTCTCTCTCCTCTCTCTGTCTCTCTCTGTCCCTGTCTCTCTCTCTCTCTGTCTCTGTCTCTCTCCTCTCCTCTGCTCTCCTTCTCTCTCTCATTGTGTCCTAACAATGCAGAAAAACCTGTAGATACATATTGCAGGCTAGTGGACTTGGTATCAGAACATGCTTTGTCATGGGAGTCTCACTGATTGGCTTAGGATCAAGTGAATGAAATATCCTAAGTTAGACACTCTCACCCCACATCTGAGATGATTATGTTGGCCTCCCATTGCTGCCATAGCAAATGACCTTCCAAGCAGCATCTAAGAATAAGATGCAGATAATTGTTTTACAGTTTGAAGGTCAGAGGTCTGAAAAGGGTTTCATGAAATCAAGGCCAAGGTACCCCAGTCAGAATCCATTTCTCTCCTGTTTTAGCTTCTAGAAACCCCAGCCTCCATGACCTCTGATCCCTCCCTCCACCTCCAAAGCCAACACAGTACATGCTTCAAGTCTCACTCCCATTGGGCTTCATCTGCTATACCATCTCCTCTCCTTCTCAGGCAACCGTTTCTTTCCTTTATAAGGACCCCTGAGGATACCTCAGGCCTTGGTACTCTGTGCCTCCTGCCCACCTAAAACAGATCTAAAAATAGCACTGGAAAACAGATGTAAAAATAGCACTGGGGCTGTAAACCCAGCAAGGGAAGGACCAGAATTCAGATCCCCAGAACCAACTTAACTGCCAGCACTCAGAATGCAGGCTGGCCACATTGGCTGCATCTGTGAGCTCCGGGTTCAGTTGAGAGACCTGGCCTTGAACACAGTAGAGAACAATCAAGGAAGACTTGACTTTTCACCTCAGGCCTGCACGTGCACATGCACCCTAACACCTGTGCACTCACATGCATGTAAACACATGTATACGTATGTACACATGCACACACGAAGGGAAAAAAGTTAATAATAAGCTGAATTAAAACAACCACAACAAAAGCATGAGCCTTCGACTCCCTTTTCCTCCCAGGGGGACTCTCTTACCAGTGCACTGAATTCCGCCCTGTCCTTTTCTATTCAAATGCAGTCTGTCTGCAGACAATTTGTCTACGTACCAAACATCATTGTCTTCAATTAGTCAACTCAAATCCAACCTGAACATTACCCTTTCTAAAGTCAGCAGAACATTCCCTCTCAGCCACTCCAGAGGCTACACACGTAAGCCAGGTGCCCATGTACACACCCACACATGTGCAGCAAGTAATACAAAAAGACCCTGGGATCTAGGGTCAGCTAAAGAACCATCTGGAACCGACACCCACCCACACCCACACACACACCCACCCCACCCCACCCTGTCTCTCTGCTCTGAGTCCACTGAGGTACTCATAGGAGGAGCCTCATGGAACCCTCCAGCTTGTGCTGGGGGCAAAGAATACAGAGTGGGACTAACAGCCGATCCCCAATCCCACCCCAGATGTGGTCTGCTCCAAGGACATTGTGTGGTACATGTCAGGGTCCTTGGTGCTCAGGAAATGCAAAGCCTCAGACCATGCCCAAGTTTTCAGACACCTCTCTCTGAAGAGGCCTTCTCCATTGTTCCCTCTGGCTGCCTTACCCCACTGATGCTTCCGGGAACTCCGCTTCATCCTTCTGGAGAACCTAGGTTCGAACTGTGCCAAGGGAGAGTGGTCCTCCTCAAACTAAATAGCTTTCATTTTGTCTGTTGAAGTGAAAATAAGCAAGAAAATCTAAGAGCATAGCTACTTCTTCAAACTTGAAGAGGAAGGGAAACAAAGACACTTGCCATATCTGACCTGCCACATTTGCACGAGTGTGTGTGTGTGTGTATGTGTGTATGTGTGTGTGTGTACAAACACAAGTCTCTGCATTTTTGTCCACAAAACAACACGTCAGTCATGCTGCTATGTTAGAGCATATACATGCTGCCCTCTTTTTTATTCCGTTTCACAGTTGTGCTATAAGGTCATTTTAATTTTTACTGTCAGTACACATTGAAGTCTGTTGTCTTGCTATTTCATAGGACATTTTAGTAACCCTATTTCTTTTTTTAATTTTTAATGATTTAGTTTTATTTTATATACATTGGTGTTTTGCCTGCGTCTGTGTCTATGTGAGGGTATCAGACCCCTCTGGAACTAGAGCTACAGAGAGTTGTGAGCTGCCAGGTGAGGGCTGGGAATTGAACCCCTGGATGAGCAGCCAGTGCTCTTAACAGCTGAGCCATCTCTCCAGCCCCGGTAACCATATGTCTATACACAACCTTAATTAAAAGAATGAAAATGTGTGTACAGGAAATATTCTAGAAACTACATAAGTAGGTCAAAGAATATGTGCATTTAAAGTTTGGAGCGCGAATGCCAAGCTGTTCTCCCAAAGTTGGCATCTATTTGCAAACTCATGCGTAGTGGAAAAGGGAGATTTTACCTTCCAGCAGAGGATTTAGGGACTCTAATCCTTAGTGTGAGGTAAAAAAAAAATAGTTGAGGGTCTCCT